TTGCGGGCTGTGTGGAAAGCGTAGGGCTTGCTCAGGCTGCTCTGGGTGGAGTGGGGTGGCCTCCATTGGCTCTGCATCCAGCCCTATCATTGGCCAGGCCGCCTCCACCTGGCAGCTCAGGTGGAACATGTCTCCGGGGTGGCGGGGCAGGGCCACCTGTGGCCTCAGCTTGGTCTCACTAGTCCTTCAAAGGCTGGGTCTGTTCCTAGCAAGTATCCTCGTTCAGGGAGAGCCAAAGGAGTTGAAACGCATAATAGGACTAGTGGGACAGATTTCACCAGGAGAGGAGGGAGATTTGGAAAACAGCTGCCAATTACTAGAAACACTTTTTTCAGCCGCTAAAAGAAGAAACGTGACAAAATAGGATTAAGCTTATATGTTCTCAAATGTGAGTCTTTGTAGTGACAGTTGTGTTCCTAAGGTATTTTATTCCAGTTTTATTCAAGAAAGAAGTATGTCTTAGATGCTGGATCCGTGTCTGTGAATCGTGTCACACCGTGTTAGTGAGCTGGCAGGTGGGCATTGTGGCCGGCAGCACCCTTGGGTGGTGGGTGTCTTTCCTGGGAGTGGTACAGGCCCAGTCAGCCGTGCCCACCCTCGCTGTCTTTGGTAGGTGCCCTGGACATCCTCACCACCGCTGTGCCACCACAGGACAGGGGCTGCCACGGGCACTCACTCCAGCCATCCCCCTGCTCTGAAATTGTCCCCCAGTTGTCTGCATCTTGGAGAAGAAACCGCTTGCCCCTCAGTGCTGCAGGGGCTCAATGCACACATGTGGGCACAGGTGCCAGTCTGTTTTTGTAATGTTGGCCATGGTCTGCTACTGGCTTTTCCATTTGCTTTTACTGTCCTCAACGTGATGACAGAGCTGAGATTAGCGTCCAGGGCAGTTGTAACAGATGGTGGATCTAGAAATGAAGGAGTTTCATATAGTAAGGTTTTTGAGAAGTGGCTGTTTCACCCATTTGCTGTATGACTGCCGGTGCCGGTGCTCCTGGCCCTCCTGAGCCTTCTCAGGAGGGTGCTGGTGTGTTTTCAGGAGCCCACACAGTCTACTCCTGCATGAAAGTGAGTCAGGAATTCTTAGCATGTGTTTCCTCCTTTACTCCGTCTAAATGGCCACATTTTTAGTACAGATACAGCAAATTGATATGTGGCTTCCAGAGTCATTTTGGAATATAAAAATCCAGACTTTTAAAAAATGAAGGGCACCTTGTACTTTCTGAAGAATAACTTCAAAGGTAGTGGTTCTCACAGTGGGGCCCTGGGGCCGGCAAAGCTGCACCACGTGGGCGTGCGGGGCTGTCTCTGTCACCATGTCCTCCGGGGCTCCTGAGGCCAGCTCCACCTGAGAGCCTCACTCCAGGGCTGTGTATAAACACCTTTTTTAGAAATAGCATTTTTATTAAAATATCAAATTAATGTTCCTGTAAAGCTTAACGTAATTTCTAAACCATGTGATGCATCAGAAGTAAAGGTGGAAAATGTTAGAATTGTCTGGTGTCTGCCTTTGTGATGGGCGTGTGGCCCGGGCTCTGGTTTTGGCCTTGTAGCTGAAGATTGGCAAGTGGACCGCGGGTGTGGGCGTGCTGTGTGAGGCCAGGTGACGGCTCCCAGGGCACAAGCCCTGTCCTCGGTGTCCCCGTGCTCTGTGATGGCATGCCCTGCCTATCCTGTCGGGCTGCACCCAGACTGACCCTGTGCTGGGGACTGGACATTCACCTTGATGTAAGGGGAAGGGTTAGTAAAGTGTGGCCTCAACACCTGTCTGTGTAGAGATGGCCTGTCCAGGTTGCTAAGAGGGCTGCTGCCCAACTGGGCCCTCCCAGTTGCCCCCACCCTCAGTGGGTAACATAGCCAGGGGTTCCCAGGAAGAGCCAGTTTCCTGGGCATGCAGGGCTGGGATCCTGGCTGAAGGATCGCTAGGAGAGGGCAGGTCCATTCTGAAAAACTCTGCAGGCCCCCGGGAGTGGGGACAGCACTTCTTAAGGGCCATGCCTTCTCCTATCTGAAGGGCCCTAGAGGAGGCAGGGGCTCTCCCCGCACTGCAGCCTGCTCCCCAATGCCTGGCAGGGCCCAGAAGCCTAAGGGGTACATGGGTAAAGGGGCTAGCTCATAGCCTCCACTTCACCCACATCCACGACAGGACTGTCCCTCCCCTTTCCCAGCCCAAGTTGCTGGGCTCCAGCAGGGTTGCCCTGTCCCAGGTGGACAGCTGAGGCGTGACTTGGAGTATGGGCAGGGAAGCCCCAGAGGGCTACCAGGCAGAGAGGGTACCAGAAGCAGGACAGGCACAATGCCTTGCTTCCCCACCCTGAGCCCAGGACACCAGCCTGTTTGCAGGTGGCCTCACCTCTGCAGGCACACCAGGCTCTGGGGGCGGCTGTATGGGTGGTTTCCACTCTGCTGAGGCCCAGCACCCTGCCCTTGCCTGCATCCACTCTTGCCCTGCAGCTGGCCTTGGCCATGGCTCCTGACGCTGTTTCTGTAGGTGCAGCACTGGCAGGGGGCTCTTGGGCATGAGTCCTTGCCCTCCCCATGCTTGGCTCCTGGACCCACTGTCCCCATCCAGGTTCATCGCAGGACCTGGGCAGGTAACCAGACCCCGTGTGCTGCAGACTGCATGTGGTCCCTCTGGTTTCAGGTCAGGCCAGGAGTAGGTGAAGGACCAGGGCTGTGTGAACCCCTCAGTGTGGGCGGCAGGGTTCTGAACTGGGCCACAGCAGGTGCACAGACACGGGGCCTGGCTGGAGCCTGTTTCCTGCCTCCCCAGTTCAGAAGGCCAAGTAAGGGCACCAGGCCTCTGAGAAGGTGGACCCAGGGTGGGGTTGGGGGTGCTCACCGAGGTGGGGCTGACGTCCTGGATGCAGCAGCCAGCCACAGCTGCCCCTCCCTGAGGGCCATGGCAGATGGAGGGAGGGCAGGCCCCTCGGACTAGGCACTGAGGAGGGGCAGCTGGCAGGGGCGACTGGCACGTGCCCTGGGCATAATGCGCACGTTTCTCCGCTACCCGGTGACTCTGTCTGACCTGGGCCCGATGTCCAAGACTTTTCAGCGCCTCCTGGAGAGGGCGTGCCGGCCGGGGGTCCACAGGATACAAGCCCGTGAGCCACCCAGGCCGTCAGGAGAGAATGCAGGGCGAGGCAGGGCCTGGGGGTCCAGGAACGGGGCCCCAGGACCCTCGGCAGGCAGTCGACGGTCGGCGCTCTGCTCCTGCAGTTAATCCCGGGCCGGAGGCGAACCCCACGGCCTCTGGGACTCAAGGCTGGGGAGACTACGCCCGGCGCTGCGGGAGGTGAAGCGGGAGGGGCGGGGCTGCGGGAGATGGGGCGAGGCCTGGTCGAGGGGGCGGACTTGGGGCTGGTGTAAGGGACGGGGCTCGGGCTGCAGGATGGGGGCCAGGCGGGCTGGAGCAGGGAAGCTGCCGGCCCGGGAGAGGGCGTTGTTGCCGGTGCCCAGCCGATCTGTGCGTCCTGGATGCAGCAGCCAGCCACAGTTGCCCCTCCCGGAGGGCCACGGCAGATGGAGGGAGGGCAGGCCCCTCGGACTAGGCACTGAGGAGGGGCAGCTGGCAGAGGCGACTGGCACGTGCCCTGGGCATAATGCGCACGTTTCTCCGCTACCCGGTGACCCTGTCTGACCTGGGTCCCGTGTCCAAGACTTTTCAGCGTCTCCTGTCTGTCTGCCTAGGACCATCACTCTTCCCAGGCCCCGCTGTCCTGGGCAATGCAGACGAGCGGAGAGGGGCGGGGAGGCCGCCGGCAGCGCTTAGGGGGCGCCCCGCCTGCGCCTGTCGGTCCCTCCTCCCTGCTCCACCTCGAACCTTGGCCCTGCCGGCTGCTTCCAGGCTCCTTTCCCACCTTGGCCTCCCTGGGCGCGCCCCTCACAGTAGCCGCGTCCCCAGCTTGCTGGCCACAAATGCGGGGCCGGGCAGGCTGGAGGGGTGGGGGTCGCGGTTTGGGGCGCGGTGCCGGGGGCCTTCCCCAAGTGGGGCTAAGGCTTTGGCAGCCCGTTGAAGGAACAGACCCTGGCGGCCTCGCCTGCCCCAAGAGCAGAAGGCCCTCACGTAGGTGAGTTGAACACAGCAAAAGCCAGGTGAGTTTCTGAGGAGAGTAACGTGTACACCGTCCAGCGGCTGGCTAACCAGCTGGTTCCCCGAGACCCAGAGACCAGAGGAGGGACAGGGGAAGGAGGGGCAAGTCAGGGAGTGACAGCCAGCCCTGGGCAGCGTAGGGTTCCGGGGGAACCTGTGCAGGTCTGCATGGCTGCCTGCCCGGATCCACCCTGGTCTCCCCACTTGTCCTGGGCACTGCCACAGCCTCCAGGAAGCCCTCCCAGATGTATTCTCCACCGCTCTGAGCACCCAGCTGGAACAGAGGGGGCCAGATCCTGTCAGTCCTCTACTCCAACTAGCTGAGGGTCAGCATCTGCCTGGTTAGAGGCAGAATACCAGCGCACTGGTGGGTCCTCAGGCAGGGGGCACTCTTCTTGCATCCGGCTCAAACGGAGTGAGGCTTTGCTTACCTGAGGCTCTGTGGGGAGACTCACCTAGAAGCCTCCCCACCCCAGTTGACTGGGTAGGCAGGTGCGAGCAGGTGGGGTGAGGCGGCGGCCTCAACTGGCTACAGGCACCTGGACTCCGTGAGCTAGGGCAGGCAGGGGCCTGAGCAGGCCCAGAGCCCTTCGTCCTTGCACCAAATCCCTCTCCATTATAGGGGTCCCATCAGCCCCTCCCATGAATACCATGTCCCCTACATTCCCCTGCCCTGGGGGACCCCAGCCTAAGGTAATGAAGTTCAGTACTGGGCCACCATGCAGCTGGACGCACGGGGCCACCCTCACCCTGGCTTCATCCAGGCCTCGTCCTGGACTGAGACCTTTAGAATGTGTGACCCCAGCAGCCAGTCCCACTCTGTCCCAGCGTCTAGCTGTGACCCCTCCCAGGGTAGACCCTGTCTGTCCCAGGTGGAGGGCAGGGGACAAGAAAACAGGAGCAGATGTGAACCAGTCATCTGTTTTATTTTTTGGAAAGCACATCTGCCATTTGGGCTGACACCTTTGGCTCCCGAAAGGCTGGGGACCCTAGAACAGAGTGCCCTGAGCCACTGCCCCGTGGGCCAGCTGATGAGCAGAGACCAGCCACCCGAAATCGGGGTAGTAACAGTATGTAACAAAACTGAATTCACGGCTTTCTCTCTGAAGCTTTGAAAGGTAGCAGTCTGGGCTATTGAAGTCTAGAAGCATTGCATAAGTGTTAAATCTACAGCAAACACATCTTGTAAAAACTCAATAAGTTTTATATATATATATATATATATATATATATATAAACTTGTAACATCTAGTAACTTGGGAACCTGCATGCAGGGCTGGCCCCTGCTGGAAACTGTCTTCCCTCGTGGAACACATGGCAATTGTAACTTCATGGAAATGTCAGCTTGCGTGAAGTCCAAAAAATAAGTCTCCTAAAGAAAAATCCTATAGAAATCTAAATCTCCTGCAAAGATGATAAAATACCCTCCCTGGGACAACCTCCAACTATTTATGGTCCTTTGGGGTACAAGGAGGCTGGTTCTGGCCTTTGGGTGTGGGCTGGGCACACCCTCAACCATTCCCCTAAACCAAGTGGGACCCTCTCTGCCATGCAGCTGCTGAACACTGAGTCCTGAGGCCCAGGGATGGAGACAGGGGTTCTAGGGTCGATAAATAGCTTTACAAATATACAAGTCCAGGTACAATTTTTAAAACAAAACTGTGGTGCTGGGAAAGCCCCTCCATCCTCCGCTGGTATCTGCATTTGTCTCAACAGCAAGTCCCCCAGGGCCCCCCACCAGGGCCCCCACATCGCCAGGGTCCCACGGCCTCAGCTGTACCGGCCTTTCTTCCTCCATATAGACTTTTTAAATATATGTATGTGTAATATCATACACACAGCATCTATTTATATAAATGTACACACATTTCTGGAATAAACCTTTCAGAGAGAAGTTAAAGGCTCCTGCCTTCAGGTACCCGTAATTTCAGTCTCCGAGGGGCAGGGTGGGAAGTGGGGAGGCTGGGGAGTGAGGGCTGTGTGCTAACACAGGTGCAAGGGGCCACTCGGGTGGGAGTTGTGCCACAGGGGGGATTCCCTGCAGGCTCAGTTTGGGCACTTGGAGGGGCCTTGGCCTGTCCTGAACTCTGGAGTCTGGCCACCACCCCCAAAGTCCCTGTTGGGGGCAGGGGGGAGCAAGGGAGCCTGGGGAGGGGGTGCCCTGCGAGCAGCCCCCTTACATTCTACACTCAGTGCCCCTGGTGCTGCCAGCACAGGTGGCCAGGAGGTCACTATATAGCAGGGTGGGCACCCAGGGGGCTCGAGGCCTGCGCGCACACACACACACACACAGACGCGCGCGCGCTGTCCTTCCATCCATCCACACCAGGTCTCGTGCCTGGGCTGACGGGCGCATGGGCGGCCGCACAGCAGCAGCAGCACAGTGGTTGGGCTCCGCCCTCACATCACTGGGCTCAGCCTGCAGGCCAGAGGCCCTTCACGTCCGCAGGCCCCCGCCGCTGGGTGGGGCTGGGGGCAGCAGGTCATGGGCGAACACGGAGTCGTCCCCTGAGGAGCTGGAGCTGGGGGTGTCCTGGCCACCTGGTGAGTACTGCTCAAAGGGCACTGACAGGTCCAGGTACTCCTGCAGGTGGGCGGCCAGGCGGCCGAGCAGCAGTCAGAGCAGTGCCCTCCCCATGCCACTCTGCCCCCACCCAGCTGAGCCTTCACTCACGTCAGTGGAGGTCATGGTGAGAATGCGGTCCAGGTCCTCCACCAGCTGCTTGAAGGTGGGTCTCTGCGAGGGCACTGCATGCCAGCACTCTCTCATGATCATGTACCTGGGGGGGCGCTCAGGTCCAGCTCCCGCCTGGGGCCTACTCCCTGCCTCCCTCAGGAATGGCCTGGAGCGGCCTCTCTCCCACCCTGGGGCTGAGGCCACAGAGACCAGGGCACTAAGTCCCTGGGAGCCCCCCTGTGGACAGGTGCGGGCAGGGCGGTGGACAGTGAGTGTGCTCACAGGTCGTGCGTGCAGTTGGCCGGCTTGTCCATGCGGTGGCCCTCCTTCAGCAGCTTGAAGAGCTCCTCCACAGGGACTCCAGGGTACGGCGAGCCCCCCAGAGTGAAGATCTCCCAGAGCAGGACCCCAAAGGACCAGCTGGGGGAGGCCCAGAACTGTTAGCTGCTCTGCCACCCAAGCCCGCAGCAGCCCACCTGCCCCAGAATGGACTTCACTGGGGCTTGGAGAAATGGGCCAGGGCCCAGGGCATATGGCTTGCCAGGCCGTGGGGGCTACTATGGGGGTCCTCCACCCCTGCAGCTCACTCCCACCGGCGCCCCCCACCCTGGGCCACATACACATCACTCTGGTGGGTGTAGACACGGTCAAACAAGGCCTCGGGTGCCATCCACTTCACAGGCAGCCGGCCCTGGGAGAAGGCGAGGGACATGTTGGTGGCCAGGTCTTCCCCTGGCTCAGAGCCCCTGCCCTGGGCCAAGCTCACATTTGTGGTCTTCTTATAGTAGTCCAGGTTGTGCACATCACGGGCCAGACCAAAGTCCGCGATCTTCATCACATTGTCCTCGGTCACTAGCACATTGCGGGCTGCCAAGTCCCTGTGAATGCACTGGGCGGGTGCAGGGGGCAAGGCTGAGGCCCTTCCCTGGCCCACCTCCCAGAGCCCTGGCAGGCCCAGAGACCTGCCGTGGCATGATGGCAGCCTGGTGCCCCTCCCCACCGCCCCCACTCACCTTCTGCGAGGAGAGGTACTCCATGCCCCGTGCCACCTGGTAGGCGCAGGACACCAGGTCCTTGAAGGTGAGCTGCTCCTCAGGCAGCTTGCAGGTGTCGAAAGAGTAGTCCATGCCAGGTGGCCGCCGCGCCCTCAGGTACTCCCTCAGGTTGCCCTTGGCGGCATACTCCACCAGCACGTACAGGGGCCCTGCCGGCACAGGTGCCTCAGCAGGGACACCAGGCCCCCAGGCCCGCCCTGCGGCCCTGCATGCAGGCCCTCTGCCCACCACGCACTCACCACCCTGTGTGCAGGCCCCCAGCAGGTTGATGATGTTCTTGTGTTTGCCGATCATCTTCATCATCTCCATCTCCGACACCAGGTCTGAGAGGTCCTTGTCTGTGGCATCGTCTGCACGGGCAGAGGGGCATGTCAGGCATGGCCGACCCAGCCAGGCCCAGCCCCCCAGCACTGGCCCTGGCTCCCCCTCACCTTTCAGCATTTTCACGGCCACGGTGATGGGCTTGGCGGCCCGGTCCTTGTCGATGCCAATAGCCTCTGCCATAACCACCTGGCCGAAGCAGCCCTCCCCCAGAGGCTTGCCCAGGGTCAGCCTGGCAGCACAGCAGAAAAGCAGAGAGCCTTTGAAGCCAGCACCACCACCTCCAGGGAGCACGCCCACTCGCCTGAGACCCTGCTCACCAGGATGAAGGATGTTGCCCTCTGGCCCCTTGCCCTGTGCCACACCATCCAGACCCAGCACTTTGTGAGAGGACACCGCCACCCAGGGTGCTCACCTCAGGGGCCTCTGACCCAGCCCAGGCTCCTCTACCCCGCCACCCCCAGCAGAGGCCACACCAACAGCCTTGATTTCTCCCTGACCCAATGTGAACCTGGTCAGGTCTCTCTCCTTCCCCACACAGGGCTCCACCCTGCTTGTGCCCCCAGCCCCGGCACACCACCCCACTGCCACCACTGACCGGGCTCGGGACAGCTCCCACTTGGGGTCAGCAGGCAGCTCAAGCTCTGACACGTTGGCCAGCACTGGGCCCTCCCCTGAGGACAGCCGGGCAATTCGCACCAGTGGCGTGGTGGAGTTCATAGACGAGTCGGACTCCAGGGACACCTGCTTGGGTCAGGAGGGCGGGCTGGTGCCCGGGCTATACAGAGCAGGGGGTGCGGCCCCGGGGACACCTGCTTGGGTCGGGCTGGCGGGCTGGCATCCGGCTGTATGGGGCAGGGCCGCAAGGCAAGGCCTTGGCTTGCCTGAGCAGGCAGGTCTGATCGGGTGAGCGCGGGGCATGGGAGCAGGTGCTAAGTGAAGATTTAATGTTTACAGTCCAAAGTAACCCTGGCCCACGCAGGGATCACAAGGACACAGAGAGTTTGGCTCACATACTGCAGACTGGGGTCCCTGGGTGGACCCCAGCTCTCTGCTGCCACAGGGTGGCCCTGCACGCTGGGACCCAGGGGAGTGGGCTGACGGGTGGTACTAGAAATTGGGATGGGTGGATGGGTGGCTCCGAACCTGGCAGCTACTTTCTGTTACCTGCCGCTTGAGCGGGAAGCGGGAGACCTTGTGCACGGTGGGCGAGCCTAGGCCCTTCTTCGGGGGGCTGCGCAGGCGGCAGAGCGTCACCGCCACCACTACCAGGACGAAGAGCAGGAAGCCCACCCCGTAGCTCAGGACGCCTGCGTACACGCCGCCGGCCTCGCCGGCCTCCGCCAGCTCCTCCTCTGCTGCAAAGACACTGGCATTGGGGACCCAGCCCAGCCTCCTGGGAGCCCCCATGGGCAGCCTGCAGCCAGAGCCACCAGCACGGGGGCAACAGAGGGGGCTCAGCACCCAGTTGGGGATGCTGAGGCCTCAAGGCCCCACTTGTTGAGGGTCCTACAGTCAGAAATGCCTGAGTCAGGAGGGGAAGACCCGGGAGCGGAGCCCAGCGGAGCCAGCAGCACCCACACCCGCCGCCCAGGGAGACACCAGAGCTGCCACCGAGGCGATGGGGACCTGGCCAGCAGCGTTTGGCTTTGTTCCCGTACCAGGCACAGGAGGGCCTGGTGCAGGGTCTGTGGGGCAGGCGGCCATGAGCTGCGGGTTCCCTGCCTGTCCCTGGCGGCTTTGGTGTGCCCCGAGCCAGCGACCCGTGAGGACAGGTGCAGAGCGAGCAGCTGCAGGAGCCGGTACCTGGCAGCACCACCAGCCACGCAGAGTGATGGGAAAACCCGATAGAATTGCCCGCCAGGCAGGTGTACTCCCCCGCATCCTCAAAGGTGACATTGCGTAAGGACAGAACCTCTAGCTCCTTGTCGGTAGTGTTAGCGCCCGCCGTCTACAAAGAGAGAACAGAGTGCGATAGGCGAGCGCCAGCACCTCCCACGGGCACCACAGCCAGGTCCACATGGTGACGATCCAGCCAGGCTGCAAGAGAAATGCCGCCACCACCACGCCCACGGTGGCCGAGGGTCCTCTGCCTCGTGCGTCCACACCGAGCCCGAAGCCAGTCCCTCCACCGGCGAGTCCTCTGTCCCAGGTGAGCGCCAGGCGTGCAGCCAGCAGCGTGCTACTGAATGCAGCATGTGGGTTAGCGTGAACACGGGAGGGTACAGGCAGGGGTACGGATGGACAGACTGACAGGAGGTGAGCAGCAGTGGAGCCGGGCAAGAGAGAGGCAGAAGCGGACGCTCAGGAACCGAGGGCATAGCCCCTGCCACGGTGAGGACCTTGGGGGGCATGGGGTGCAAGCAGGGTTCGCACAGGCCACAGGGGCCTGAAGCAGGTGGCTGCAGCAGAGGCCAGAGGCGCCAGCACTGCAGAGATGGCCACGTCGAAGCAAGTGCGAGCCACGGGGGCAGGAGCGAGCAGGACGGGGCGTGCAGGTGGGCACACGGCCAGGGCGCTGGAGCTGGAGCTCGGCGTGCCGGCAGGCGTGGGACAGAGTTGTTACCTGCTTGGGGCCCGTGAACACGCAGCCAAAAGGCCTTCTCAGCCACGCCTATGAAATTGGAGGCTCGACAGAGGTACTCGCCCCCGTCGCGCTCGGACACATTGGCCAGGCGGAGGCGCGCGTCGGCCTCCACACTCTCACTGATCCAGGACTGCGGGGATAAGAGACCCCCGCTCAGGCGCGCCCGCGGCCGCTGGCCAGGCAGAGCAGCGTGCAGGGAGCAGGCCCGGTGCAGACCCTGCCACGAGGACAGGCCGGATCCCAAGGCTCCGAGGCAGGAAATGGGAGACCCCCGAGGAATGGATGGGAGTTGGGCTGGGCCAGCCGGAAGGCTGCCTGGGGGAGGTACAGAGGCACCTCCTCATGGTTGTGGTTCAACAGGATGTGCCCTCTGTGTCCACCCTCCATGACCTCTCAGAGAGGCCTCCCAGGCTGAGGCTGGGCCTGTTCACCCCTGGGGTCCAGGCTGGACCCGCTGCGGTGCCGCTGGGCTAACAGTGGAAGTGCTGGCCAGGGCACAGAGCCACCACCCCACAGGGTTCACAGAGGCCTCTCCAATTAGGCCTGGACCCCCACCCTTGGCCGGTGTGCCGGCTCCCAGCCCCATCAGCCTGTCTGGTCTCTACAGAGAGATGTTTCTCTTTGCGCTAAGAGTGCCACAGCCACTCCGACTCGGATGGCTCCCAGCCCTGCAGCCTGGGGCAAAGCAGAGGCTGCCCTGCCCCGAGGGCAGCAGGCGGGGTGCTGGCTGCTCTGTGCTGCTGGCCACACCCGGTGGGGCCAGCCCAAGGAGCAGCTCCAGCCTCTCAGGTGCAGAGGGTGCTGGGAGGAGACTTGGGCCCCAGGCTCTGGAACTGGCTCGCCCTGCAGGCGGCCTCCCAGACTGAGGCCCACTGAGCAGAGGAGGCAGAGGGCTCACTGCAGGGCGCTGCTGTTGACTCAACCCACCCTGCCAGCCAGCCCCACCCCCCACCGCTTCTTCCCTGAAGGTCCAATGCCCACGCCCCAGCCTGGGCCCCAAACACCACCCCTTTAACTCAACGGGCCTCCCAGTCCCTGGGCAAGGGGCCCGGTAGGGCCAGGCCCACGGGCTCACAAACAGGGAGCCCCTAGCCCGCTGCTTGTGGCCAGCCAGTGGCGGCGCCCACCTTGAGCACAGTGACGTAGGGTGTGCCATCCGGCCCTACTCTGCTGCCGTTCACCTCCACATGCTTCAGCCACTGAATGTGGGGCTGCGCGTCGCTGTACACCTTGCAGTGGAACTCCACGTCACTGCCCAGCACTGCCGTCTGGTTGGCCGGCAGCCCCGCCTGCAGGATGGGCCGGTGCGGGGAGCGCTCTGTGGGGCAGGCAGCGCTCAGGGGCTGCTCTGGTTGTACCCGCCCATCCCCACTCCCGGCCCAGGCCTCACCCAGCACATCCAGGGTGTATGTCTGCCGGATGCTGCCGAACTTGTTCTGCACCACACATGTGTAGTTGCCGCGGTCGGAGGGCACCACACTCTCCATGACCAGGCTCCATTGCTGGTGGCGCAGCTGTGGGCAGACACAGTGAGCGGCAGTGGGCAGAAGACCCTTTGCCATGGCCAGGCCCGGTGCCACCCACCTGCTGCAGGCCCACCTTGATGCCCCCGATGCGATGCTCGCCTCTGAACTCCTTGCCATTCTTCAGCCAGGAGATGGAAGGAGTGGGGTTGCCGGCGGCCGGGCAGCGGAAACGGACAGTGTTGGCGGCTGGTACAGCCAGAAGCTTCTTGTCCATCCGCTCAGGCCGTGTCCAGTAAGGGGCCCCTGCTGGTGGAGAAGCACGTGAAGTCCATACCAGGATGGGTGGAGGCCCACCTGCCCCCTCTCTGAAAGCTGCTCCCCAGCTTCCCCTACTGGGTAGGAATACTGGCCTTTCAAGGGCCCCTGCCCAGGCCGGTTGAGGCTCCCAGGTGCCTTGGCACCACCACCAGCACTCTCAGAGCCGGGCCCGCAGTGCCTCCTTCCCTGTCCATTTCCCCTAGTGCCGACTCCAGCCCAGAGGACCCAGGGCACTGCACCCTGGCCCAGGACCCTTCAGGTCACCAGGGCACCCCCTGGAAAACACCCACCCACCCAGGAAGGCACACTGGGGGCAAGCCCACTGAGAGGGAGACCTAGTTGGCAGGGGGACCAGTCATCCAGGTCACCAAGCCCTGTCGGACGGACGAGCAGGGCCAGGTCTTGGGACACTTTCCCAGGAGGCCAGGCCCAGCTGCCCCCTGGAGACCCTGAGCCACCCTCTGCAGTGCCCCAGGGCCTGATGGACCAGGAGTGGGGACATGGCAACATGGAAAGGACATGACGTCAGGGAGACCCCACCCCACCCCACCCTCACAGCCCAACTGGTCTTCCTCCTTTGAGCCTCGAGTTCCCAGGAGGGAGGCAGCAAAGGCCTGGACAGGGGGAGGCAGCGCCTCTCCATGACTTCGCTGTTGTCCACAGAGCCATCTTGCCAGACAGTGAGCATGCTGGGGCCTGGGGTGGAAGTAGTATGGACAGACACTGGGAAGAGACACCTGGCCATCCACCCAGGCCTTTGGAGGCTGGGGAAGGGACCCCAGGGATGACAAGGGCCAGCAGGCTGTGGCAGGGGCTGTGCCCTGGGACTGGGGGACATCAGTTACTCAACAACAGAGCACACCTTCTGAGTGGCAGCCCTGCCAGTGACCCTCAGGGTCCCGGCTCACTTGGGTGGAACCACCACACACCAGGCTGAGGTGGCCAGGGCACAGGGACCAACAGGAGCTGAAGGGGTGGCCTAGTCAGGAGAGGGGTGGGGAGGGCAGCCAGGCTGGGACTTTGGCTCTGAACTTCCTGGCAGCCCAAGGGAAAAGGGAGAAGGGAAGAAATACAGCAGCACCTCAGGCAGGGTGGCCACACAAGCCCCTGGAGCCTGGTCCTCCCCCAGGCTCCCCTCTGCCCAGGACCCCTCCTCTCTCTGGTTTCTATCCAGCTCTGTCTCCCTGGCGGGTTCCCCTTGCCTTCCTGCCTGCTACATCCAAGGCCCCCCCAGGCCCCATCTCTTGGCATCTCAAACTCAGCTCTTCCACCACCAAATGCTCTTCACAGTTTCAGACCAAAATACCTGCATATTGTCACTCAGCTGGTCTCCCATACCCACAGCCTGTCACCAGGAAACACTGTCAGCACCCCCTCTACACAGCCAGACTCAGTGCCCCTGGTGCCATGGCCAACGTCCTCTCCCAATGCCCGAACCCCTCAACCCCACAGCTGGCCCTGCAGCAGCCCACCCACACAGGGGAGGGGGCACCTCGCCCACTGGCCCCACTGCCCATCCTGGGCCCAGCTACTCTGTGCAGCTCAGTGTCCCCTGCCAGCCCCAGCCTGCCACCCAGAGCTCAAGGCCACCTCACACCGAGGGGACCCCACACCTGGTGTGACCCTGGGGACTTGGTCCGAGGCCTCCATCTCTCACCTTCCTGATGAGCAGGAGGCCCCATACCTGGGGATGGCGGAGGCTTGGCAGGTGGGGAGCAGCCCCACCTGCTGGGAAGACAGGTACCCAACCCCGAGCTGTGCGCTAAACCTGGTCTCACCTGTGTCTTCAGCCTCATCCTCCCCATCTTCGTCGTCACCAGAGGATGGAGCATCTGCAATGCCGGGAAGGGCGCGTGTGAGCAGCTGGTGAGGGGCAAGGGCTCAGCACCCACATCCCGATGCTGACACTTCTCAGCTGTGAAGTGGCATGCTTCCCTCACGGCCTGCCTCTACCTGCCCGACTGGAGCCCCCCACTCATACATTGCCTCCTTGGGGGTGTTCTCCTTTCCACCAGTGGCCACCCTGTCCCTCAGGGCAGAGTGCTGCCTGGCAGCCACAGGCACTCACCTGCCACACGCACACTGAAGTAGCACAGAGCTTGCTGGGTGAGCCGCTGTCGGCAGCTGTAGGACCCAGCGTCCTCGTGGGAGGCATTCAGCACCCGCAGATGCTGGGGCCCCACCAGGATCCGGTCCGAGGGCAACAGCCCCACACCATCCTTGGCCCAGATGGTGGGCCCCATGGGACCACCCACAGGCGAGGGGCAGCTCAGCTCCACGGTGTCCCCGCTGCCAAAGACCAGCTGCTCCTGCCGGCTAGGCTCAGGTCCTGGGGCCTCTGTGGGTGAGACAGCGGACTGCGAGGCAGGTACCCCCAACCAAGCACAGCGGGCACTCCACCCTCCTGAGAAGCACCACAGCACCCCCACTTCACAGACATGCTGGCAGAGGCTGCAGCAGGGGGGCATCTGGGGCCTGGCAGGCTGGGCAGGGGTGAAGAGCCCACACCCAGAGTCCACAAAGGGCTGGCGGAAAGTCTCAGCCTTGCCAACAGGTCTCCGTCCCCAGGACAGCTCTGCTGCTGTAGTGCTGACACAGACAATGCGGAGACAAGCAGTCACTGCAGGCTGTCACCCGAGGCCAACACGGGCTGGGCCCAGCCTGGGGTAGGGCTTTTGGGGCACAGGACACTCTGTGCCTTGACTTAGAAGGGAGCCCCTGCCACCTGCACCTTAGCAGCACCATGGCATAAATACATGCTGAGCAGAGGATCAGAAATACAAATAGATGGGATACCAGGTCTGGCCAGAGGGGTCCTCTAGGCCACTGGGGAAAGGGCCCTGGGAACCCGTTTACAGATGACAGGATGATGCCCAGAGCAGGACCCTTAGAACTGGGCTGAGGAACTGACAGGTGCTGAGAAGTTGGGGTGGAGGGTGCTCGCCGAGGATGCATGTCTACCAGTGACCCCCTGGGCTCCTCCTCTGCCCAATGGTTGCCCAAGGGGCTAAGAAGGCCCGAGACCCAGGGACACCCACTGGCAGGGCTGAGCCTCACTCCCAGGCCTCCCTGCCAGGGCCAGACAATGCCCAGTGCAGGCAAGCAGCCTGGGCTCAGGGCCCGGGACAGGGGTGGGTGATCCTACTGCGCCAGCCTCCCTCCCCAGACCCAGCTGGGGCGGCTGCGCCATTACTTGTCATTCTACCGATGTGTGGCCTATATCCGAGGGCCCAGCTGTCCATTCTGGCCACACCAGCCTGTGGCTCCCAGGACAGGCCCAATTCCGTTCACCCACCTCTGCAGTCCCACCAGCCCCATGCCCTCCAGAAGCGTCTCCCAAGTGTCCATGGAGTCTGTGTCCCTAGGGACCACACAGTGGGGCTCCTGGCCTGACCTCTGCACACCCCCAGTCCTGGCCACTGTGGGGACCACCCAGCACCAGGAGCCTCGAGGCCCCCCAGAAGGCAGAGAACAGGCTGGCACAGCGGCCTCAGCACCAGGCCCTGGCCCAAGGGCAACAGCGGTTCATTCCGGTTTGGTCCCGGTAGTGATGGCAGGCCAAGCCATCCACACAAGTATTTGCTTCAACCTGGTCCAGCAGGGGACCAGGGGGACACAGAACAGCCCCCAACTAGCCATGCCTGGCAGCTATCTGCTGGGGAGGAGGGGGCAGGGCCCTGCACTCAGCCAAGGGCCGACCCCTATCCTGACCATCTCCCTACCCAACTAGGTGCCTGCAAGGCTAGGGACCCACCAGACCAGGGCTGAGACGAGCTGCAGGGTCTCTGGTCCTGCAGGCCTACCCAGGGCCACAGGGACCCTATGGGAGCCCAGCAATGGGTGTGTGGGCAGTGCCAGGCTACAGGATGCTGAGCGTGGGCAGAGCCCAAGGTGATGGGCAGACTGGGGCTCTCCCTGGGGAGCAATGGGGCACAAGCAGGGGGCTCCTCAGTCCTCAGGCAGCTCCAGAAAGGAGTCTTTTTTGGTCAACAAAAAGGGGCTCACCGACCCCACACAGCACCGGAGCCTAAACATGGGAGGAAAGACTGTGTGTGCCAAGGCGGGTGCCCACGTGCCACATGGTGAGCTTGACCAGGGCTGCACGTCCAGAGTAGCCCGTCTGTACAGCCCAAGGGCTACTATGCCCCTGTGGGACCAAGCTGAGCCTGCGGGCAGAGTTCCCCTGACTCACTGGCCCTGTGCCTCAGTTTTCCCTGCTGTAGTACAGGGTAAAAAACCCAGCCACCAGCCAGCCAGAGGCCACCATGTGATTAAAGTGCTGGTGGGGACGAGAGACCTTCCCTGACCGGGCTACTGCATGGACCGACACCCCCCAGGCCATGGGTGGAGCTAGCCTGTCCAGGGGGCTGCCCACCCCAACAGGGCTATTGTTCCCATTTGGGGTCACTACAGTTAAGGCCCCCCCAGTGCATGGTGGTGCACAGGGATTGGACAACACCATCAGAAGGGCCTTGGGGTGACCCCAGAGAACAAACGTCAGTCTGATGATTCAGAGGGACCCACTGGAGGTGGCCACCCCAAAGGATGTGGGCTCTTGAGTGGGATGAAGTGTCCTGGCTCTGGGCATGTGGGGAGCTCTCTGCTGCAGGGGGAGCGGCCGCCCAGCAAGCTCCCTGCATGGTGGGGGTCCGGTCCAGGCCCCTCAGAAGTTTGGGCTATGCAACAGGTACATGCTTTAAAAGAGCTCAAGAGAGGAGGGCATCCCAAAGGGACCTGATGTCATGGGGGAAGATACGGCCTTCCTGCTTCCGCATCCAGAACATTCTGAAAAAGTTTGTAACAGAACAAACAGGCTGGGACTGGGAGGTCAGGCAGCTTAATGTGGGCACAGAGGCTCATCCAGCCCAGCCTTCCCAGAACCCTGCAGTTACTGGTCCTCACAGACAGGAGGACAGGTGAGGGGACGGGGGCCCGTGGTGGCACTCAACACCTCAACAAGCAGGGCATGGGGCTGGGAGCCCCTACCAGAAGAGGGCCCACCTGCTGCCTGCTCACTTGTTAATCACTCAGGCCTGTTGCCCTGCCCCTCCCAAACCTGTGCCTGGGGCCCCTTGTTCCCCTCTAGGCTCAACAGGGAAACGGGGTGCACGAGGCCCGAGGTGGGGCCTCAATTAGAATCGGAGGCTCTGGAGGTGAGGGTATGCCTTGGCTGAGTTGCAGGGGCTTAGAGGCCAGAAGTCCAGCCTTGGGCTCAGCCAGGTTAATGAACCACCTAGAGGATCCTGGGGCTCAAAGTCCAGCCCCAACCAGCAAGGGTGGGGGAGGCTGAGGCCTGAGCCTTCCCAGGACATGCCCTGCAGCCCCCAGAAACCCCTCCTAGCCGGGTGGGGTCAGCCTGCAGGGGGAGCGCCAGCCCACGGAGCTCACGGTGGGGACTCCCGACCAGGCCCCTCCGCCCTCAGCACGAGCCCATGTGGGAATGCAGGCTGCCCTGCTCAGGCCTTGGGTGGCCAGGGCAGTCCAGCGGCCCTTGGCCCCAGCCAGCTCCAGCTCCTTAATTTACAGTCTCCAGGGAAGTGGCAGCCGGGCCTCTGTATTTCACCGACAGGCCCATCTCCTTAAGGAACCAGATTAGGTTTATTGACCTGTGGCACCAGCTCTACTGCAGGGGGCAGGGGGCAGCCACGCTCCGGCTGAGGGAGAAGGCCCTGGACCCTGGAGGTCCTCCTTCGCCCTTTGCCCCAGGCCAGCCCTTGGTCGGGGCACCGCAAGCTCCGCCCCCAGGCCTGGCGGTGCGAGCCGCTGGGATGGAGGGGATCGCTGCCCCGGAGCCGCAGGAGGTCCAGGGGAGGGCCTGGAGCCCCGCCCGCGCCCCCTCCCCCGGGGCTAGTTGACATTCCCTGGCCGTAGGGAGTAATATCTTTATCTGAATGCGAATGCTAATGCCGGGCTCCCCCCACGACAGCCTATTCGGCTTTCTGGAAGCGGGGGCCGCCAGATCAGGCGCTAAAAGCGCGCGCTGACCTCCCGACGGCCTCTGTCACGCCGCTGAATGACACGCGCATTCAAGAGCCGGGCCCACTTCATTCATAAAAAAATGACATTGTTCCGGGAGGCTGCAGCCGCCGCGGGAGAATGGGGCGCGGGGGCGCAGGGAGGGGCGGGCGGCCATCTGCCTCCATCCTGCGCGGCCGCCGCCCCCCTGGCACGGCGCGCCCGCCGCCTCGGCTCACACCTCCCCGCGAGGCCGCCATCAATGCGCGGTCTGTGGCCGCGCCGAGGTACAAAGGGGCGGCTGTTCGGGTCTCGCCCGGGTGGGGCGCGAGCTCACCGGCGAAGGCCTCCCTGCGTGCGGCCCCGCCCGCGCCCCGAGCCGGCGGTCCCCGGGGGCGGACGCCCCTCTCGCCCAGCCTGGAGCCTGGCCGCGCGCGTGCGGGTGGCGGCTTCGGGGCGCTCTGCCGGGCCGGCGGGGGGCCGTGCGCGCTGCTCCTCAAAGGCCGCGGCGCGTGTGCGGAGCGGGTCCGGCGCACAGACGCGCCCCCGCCCTTCTCCTGTGCTCTCCCCGCGGGCCCCCTCGCATACCTCCGACGTCCGGCCGAACCCTGACCGCCAGCCAGGGCCGCGGTCCGCGACCCTCCGACACCCTCCCTCTCACCTCCCGGCGCCCCGCCTGGAGTTCGGCGCGCACCCTTCGCCCACAGGGCAGAAGAGCAGGGTGGAGGGTAGGGAAGCGGAGGCGCGAGGAGGTGTCACCTCGTCCTGCAGGGGGCAGGGGTCGGGCCGCGGGCTGATGCGTCCCCCACGCTCCTCCAAAGTCCGGGCCCCTGCTCTGGCCGAAGCTGGCCATACACTGGGGAGCGAAGCGGGGTGGAAAGGGCGCCCAACAACGAAACTTTCCGCGGTCAGCGCAGAACTCGCAGAACAACAATGGGAATCGTGGAAACGCAGCCGCTGCGTCCTTCCAGCGGCGCCCGGAGCCCGCTGCGCTCCACTGGGGAGCCGCGGGGGGCGGGGACGGCTGAAGCCGCTTGGGTGGTAGCCTTGCGGCTCCAGACGCCCCACAATCTGCCGCCTCAGCTCTGGCCGCGATCCCCGGGTAGGGAGGGCGGCAAAAGCCCGGCCCCAGGCCCTGCGGTGCCAGCCCGGGCGCGCCCTCGGGCCCGCTCAGATCCCGCGGCAGCCCCCCCGCGAGCGCCCGCTCCCCGCCCTAACGCCTCCGCCGGCTGCAGCCCCGGGCCCCTCCCGCGGACATTTCGGATGTTTCCTTACCTGCCGCTCTCCGCACCGCGCGCTGCTCCGTGCCCTGGGGCCCCGAGGCGACGCCGGTCACGACAGCCACTGCCACGCAGAACGCGACGGCGCAAGTCGGGGCTCCCATAGCGGGGCCGGGGTCACGGCGTCCTCAGGCGGCACACACTGGCATGCTGCCCCCCATGGCCCGGCTCTGGCACCGGCGGGAGGAGAGCGCAGCTCGGCAGCCTGCCGGAGGAGGAGGGCAGCTCGTTACCCTGGTGGGCCGGGGCGCGCAGGGGAGGGAACAGCGGCGGCCCAGCTCCCGCGCCTCGGCGCGTCCGGTCCCCGGCCGCCCGCCCGCCGCCCTCGCCCTAGGCTCCCGGGCCGCCAGGCGCCGGCCGCCTCCCGCCGCGGTCCCTCCCTTCCCCCCTTCCCTCCCTGGCTGCCGCAGAGCCCTCCCAGGGCGGCGGCGGCGGCGGCAAACTTTCCAGAGCGGGAAGCCTGCGCCGCGCCAGGCCCGGCCGCGGAGACCGCTGGGGCTGCGAGCCCGCCCCGCGCTCTAGCCCCGCGGTGCGCCCGCCTCGACCCCTCCGCGCCCTCCCGGCTCCACGCACCGACCTGGCGGCCACCGGCGCCCAACTCGCTGCGTGCGGCTCTTACGCCGGCTCGTTATCCGCCGGCCCAGCGCCTGCACCCCTTCCTCCAGTCGTCAGCTCTCCGGTGCGGCGGGTGGAGCAGGACCGCGGAGCACCGGCTGCCCGCGCCCCCTCCGCCGCCTCCGCCGCCGCCGCCGCCGCCGCCGCGCACTGAGCCTTGGCGGCCGGGCGCGCGGCAGCCAGGGGGGGCCGGTCCGCGCCCACCACGCCCCCTTCCACGCCCCCTTCCACGCCACGCCCCGACTCTCTGGGGCGCGGGGACACGCCTCTCCCCTGGGGCGGCCCGGGGGCGGGGCCGCCGCTAGCCTGGCCAGCTGACGAGCCGATTAGAAGGGGCGGGACCGGGCGGGGGCGCCGGGCGGTCTCGGAGGGCGTGGGAGTCGGGGCAGCGCCGGCCAGGCCCCCTATGTCTCCACTGGGCCTGGCGGGCGCACAGAGAGGCCGCTCGCTACCTTCTGCTTGCCCAGCGCGCAGTCCCAGTTACCAACCGGCCGCAGATCAAGGGCTCAGACCCGGAAACGCGGAGACGCCGAGAGGGGTGGTCTCAGTGAGCGAAGCATGGCAGAGGGGCTTCACTGAGAAGGGTTAGAGCAGCGGGTCCTCAGGTGGAGGAGCAGAGGACTGCACCCGGGCAGGGGCGCGGCTGGGTGAGCGAAGGCCAGGGGAAGAAAGGCGGCTCTGCCTGTCCGCCCGGGGCTGGAGCTCCGCGTGAGCTTTGGGCTCACTGATGGGTTTACTAAGCGCCTGGGGCAGGTTTGGAGGGTGGGTGCTTGCCAGGCATCAGACTGGAGAACAGGGGCTGGAGGGCCCATGGTGACTGGCTGATGTGCCCATCTTCACAAGGAAAGGGGCTCTTTTCCCACTTTCAGGAAAGCCAAAGGCGTGCTAGGGACCTACGAAAGTCAAGAGGGTGGCACCTGGTGTGAGTCTAGTCTGTCTCAGACAAGTGTCTCTGACCCACCTTGTGGCTCCTGGGACTTGGTTCACTCATCAGGAAAATGGACAATGAAAGTACCCCTGTACTTACCTGAACAGATCAGCCCCTCTGTCGTATGCTGCCTTCTTTGCCTGGTTAAGCCTGTGTGCCCCAGACAGACCCGAGACCCCCTGAACCCCAGGGGGCTGTCCAGACCCCTCCAGTGCACAGCCCTAGGCCACCCCATCTAGGTCCTCTCCCAGGATACCGTCCAGGGGCCACAGCAGCACATTCTGTTCTTATCTATTAACCAGTTGCTTCATCAGTTACATCATATGCCTGGGTCTGGGTGGATGGCTGGCCCCTCAGCCCCCTTTCTCTGGGGATGCTCATTATTTGGGTCTGTATTCCAGAATCCTTTGTGGAAGTCAGCCTGGGGCAGGGCAGGGATAAGGGGCCATCTGCTGGTACCAGAGGGATGGCCTCCCAAGGGGCACTTCTGAGGCCCAGGAAGGGCCTCTGCATTGTGCCCTGTGGGCCCTCTCCAGGACTTTCCTTGTACCCCCAAGCACAGCATCCTGCCTCCCCTGCCCCTGAGAGGGAACACTGTCCATCTTTGTGTCCCCAGGACGGTCTCCTTGTCAGAGATGCCCACAGGAGCAGTGGGCCTGTCTTGGCTGCTCTCCATTCTCCATGTACCACCTGTCTCTTCTCCTGTCCATCTCTGTGAGCTTGCCGCATCACCCCAGCATCTCAGTTCCCTTGCCCTCCAGCTTCTGCGTGGGTTTGGCCAGTGGGTAGTACTAGCAGGAGAGAGAGGTGGAGATGGGCACCCCCACTTCTGCTCTGTTCCCCCTCTCTCAGCCTGCAGGCTGGGGGCCATGCTGCCCTTACCTGGCACAAACCTGGGTGACCCCAGGTACTTCACAGCCAGCCTTCCTTTCCTAGGGCTGCTGTGACAAATTGCCACCAACTGGCTGAAATTTAGCCCTCCCAGCTCTGGGGGCCAGCAGGCTGAGGTCCAGGCGGGCAGGGTCAGCTCCCTCTGCAAGCTCCAGGGGAGGCTCCTGCTTGCCTCTAGCTGCCCCAAGGGCTCCAGACATCCCTTGGCTTGTGGCTGCATCCCTCCAGTTTCTGCCTCTGCAGCCACATGGCCTTCTACTATTCCATGTCTTCTAAGGACACCTTTCATTGGATGTAGGGCTCCCCAGAGAAGCCATGACTTCATCTCAAGAGCTTAATTTATGACACCCACAAAGACCCTTTTCCCAAATAAAGTCGTGGTCCCAGGCTGCGGGGTCCAGGTGTGGGCCTGTCTCTTGGGGGCCCCCACACACCTGTGGCAGATGCTTCCTCTGGTGCTGCCTGCAGCCTCGCTGCTACTGCGGTGGCCCTGTCAGGGGCATTTAGCTCAAGGAATTGGAGCATCTTCGTGGCTCTTAGCTGATTCTGCCAAATTGTTCCCAGGGTGTCTGAGCATTGCCTGTTGTCAATGCCAAAGGAGTGGCAGCCCACTTGGCCCCACACTTGCCACCAGGGGAGGGCATCGCTTGAAGGCATTTTTATTGACAACACAATTGTATCGTCCACTGTGACGGTTTCCAAGCCAGCGTGTTCAGGTGGAGCACCTTGTTTCTCGGGGCCTTCCCTTGGCGTCAGGGCGAGGCCTGCTGTATGCGGCGCCATCGGCCCCATGTTCCCTAGCTTGCGGCAATGCCATCTCTAAGCTAGCCATTAGTAATCACTATTTTGTTGTAGACCCTGTGATGGAGCATTTCCCATAGACCCCTGCAGCATTACCTGGCTCAGGCCTCGGGCACCCAGTGAGGTAGGCACTCCTTGGGCCCACTGAACAGGGGGCGAGTGCGCGGGGCTGGAAAGCCTCTGCTTCAGTGTTCATGGCTCCCTGTCCCCTCCCCCCACATGCCCACCCCGTCTCCCAAGGCCCATACCCAGAAGGGCCCCTGTGGAGGTGAAGGTGAGGGTGGGAGGCTGAAGGCAGGGCTAGAGTCAGGGGCTGACGGGCAGCCCAGCCCAGCCCGTCCTGGTCGGTGACTCAGAGTGGGGCAGCTGGCTTGCTGGGGCCTGTGTGGTGAGAGTGAAGCAGGGTGCAGTGGGAGGGGTGCCTACTGCTGTATGCCTGGGTGCAGGGACCCTGGCAGGCTGCCCACAGCCAGTCCTGCTTCCACCCTGCCTGCCTCCCCCACCAGGCCCAGGCTGATGCTGGGGACATGGCAGGGAGGTATGCTCAGCAGTGAGAATGCCCCTGGTGTGGACCTGTATCCACATCCTGCCAGCTATCCACAGCACTCCTGGCAGGATGTGGCCGCCATCGTACCTGATAGGTGCCCATCAAGGCCAGTGCCAGACCTGAAATCCAGGGCAGCGGGAGCCCCTGGCTGAAGCCTTGTGCTCAGCTCCGCCTCCCAGAAGGAGGCCTGGCTCAGAGATGGGGCTGCCGCTGGGAGTTTCTCTCTGCCCTGCCGCAAGGCTGAGCAGAGGGATGGGGGACCTGAGGGAGCTTCAGGAGCTTTCTGGGAGCTTGAGGGGGCTGCTCATCTTCCTGTGGGAGCTCCCCACCTCCCAGCACACACCCCACCATCTCTGGAAACATTGCTGGCAAGGGTACAGTGGTGCCAGGAAGTGGTGCCACATGGTGAAGGAAGAGGGCCCCTTGATGGTCATACTGAGTTGGGCTGGGCTGGCCCCCTCCCCACAAAGAAGAAAGGGCAGGTTTTAGAGAAGCCATGGCTGTTGTGGGTCATTGGCTATTTCTTTTTAATTTATTCTCAAAAAATTTGAGGAGGATTTTTAAGAAAAGAATAACTGATTTGCTCATTCTATGAAAATGGAGTTTTAAAGAACATGGAGAAGAGAAAATATTCCAAACTCCATTGGCCAACAGTAGCTACTGTATGAGATCCTCAATTAGCTCTGAGCTTCCTGGCAGGCTGTGCAAAAAGGGCAACACCATGAATCATATGCTGTTGGGTGGCTGGCTGTCTTCCTGGATGTGCTATGATAGCCCCAGTCCAAACATTTTGACCTTTCTGCCCCTTGGTTCATTCAGACCACTAGACCTCAAGTCCTGACTTTAAGTTTGGAGAATGTGGTTGCTCCGGGATGAGCAAAACCAGGAGCGAGAGAGAGGTGGCCATCAGGGCAGGGGGGACACACGAGAGAGGTGGTGGGGTGGCAGGGGGTTGTGGGGGATGCGAGAGAGAGGTGGGGGGGACATGAGAGAAAGAGGTGGGGTGGGGGGGTGGGGGGCGGGGGACACGCGCGAGAGAAATGGCAGGGGGCTCGGGGGATGTGCGAGAGGGGTTGGGGGTGGGGGGAATGAAGGCTCTGGCTCCTCTGGGCTCTAACCCAGGTTGAGGGTGAGGGGCCCCCAGCTCCCAACACGGAACCTGGCACAGAGGGCCCCTCCACAGGGCAGAGGGGAGGAGGTAGCTGGCAGTGGGGAGAGTCTGGCTGGGGAGGGCCAGCCAGGGTGTGAGGAAGGCCCTCGGAGGGGTGGGCCTGGAGACGAGGGCAGTGGAGAGGTGGCCGGCCGGGGAGGGGTTAAGGCCGCCCTAGCTCCTGGGGTTGGCGAGGGCCAGGCCGGTAGCTGCTGAGCAGCTCAGAAATCTATTTTCCTAAGCACTTGGCATTTGTCTGAAACCTCAAGTGTATTTTCCCTAAGTTTTATTTTTTCTTTGACCCCAAACTCTGGTAAATTTAAGGGAAATTTAATTATGGTGTTATGGGTCCATTTACACTTAAACCTTCTCAGCGTTTTTTCCAAGACCCTTTCGGAGTTCAGCATGTCTTGGGAGCCTTCTAAATGAGCGTTTTTATTTTATTTTATTTTGGAAAAGGCTCCACTCTCCGCCACCCCCCAGCACCCGCCTTCCCGCTAAGAACAAACAAGGCCTGGCTCCACAGGCTCCAGCCAAAGTGGGAATTCAGGCCTCAGCCACCAGGCCACCCCCTCACCACACCCTCCCTCCAGCAGGCAGCCCCCACCCTCTTCAGATGCCCCTTCCTCTGGGTCCTGCCAGCCCTTCCCAGGGGGTGTCACCTGCCCTGGGAAGCCCCTGTGAGCTCTGCCTTCAGGGCCTCAGTCCGGGCCTCTGCCCCTTCTGGTCCTGGCACAGGTGGCCCAGGGACAAACCTCAGCCACGCTTCCAGCCACAGCCGGTGAGTTCAGAGTGGCCATCCGGGTCCAGCAGGTAGTGGGGACCTCAGCCTTTGCAGGCGGGAGGT